TTAGTCCGCAGACCGATGCTCTACCACTGAGCCAAACCGGCTTCGGCTGGGGACTATTTTTTGAAAATATATATTTTATTGATTTTTTACAGAGAAGAAGGGAGAGGGATAGAAAGTTAGAAACATCATTGAGAGAGAGACATCGAACAGCTGCCTCCTGCACACCTCCTACTGGGTATGTGCCCGCAACCAAGATACATGCCCTTGACCAGGATTGAACCTGGGATCTTTCAGTTCACAGGCCGACGCTGTATCCACTGAGCCACACCGGTTTCAGCGAGCAGGGAAACTATTGTCCAAACCAGTGAACCCCTTGAGTTAGAGCTTTTCCATGGAAGGGCCGGGGGAGGGGTGGCATCACTCCAGGGTCCTCATTGGCGCCCAGCTCAGCATCTCAAACACCCCGAGCTGGCGGCCTGGCCCCTGGACGGTGTCTGTCTCCCTTCAGGCCTCTCTCTCCCCTCGGTCAGCACCCGGAAGTCAGCGAGGCGGAGTGGGAGGCACCAGGCTTCGGGTGACGTCCCTTGTCCAGGCCCTCCGTTTGGGGACTCCATCCAGGTCTGCCCTCGGCCTCTCTGGGCGGGAAGCAATAGCTGCCTCATGCCACGGGGGCTGTACCCTTGGGGCCACCGCTGCCTTCATTCTCGTTCTGCCACCTTAAGCAAATCCTTCCCCAGAATTTGACTTCTTCTGGCCTTTAAGCCACCTTTGGAAATGTTACAGAATATCTGTGAGGCTAGGCAGAGGAAGGGTCTGGGAATGAAACAGATCTCTCTTCCTAGGCAATAATTCCGGACTCTCCCAGGACGGATGCGGGGGGTGGAGGTGGGGCAGTGGATTCCCACCCTTTCTTTTCCCTGAAGAGGGACCATGGTTCTTTAGACGCCTCAACTCTAAGCACCCATCCAGAGGAGTGTACTTGGCCTACTCACAGCCCGGGCCTTGGCAGCGGTCGCCTGAGAAGTGAAATTTGGCAGAGTTCAAAGGTCAAGGTGACCCTTTCACAGGGTCAGGCGCTTCTGGTTTCTCAGCTTCAGGATTCCTGTGACTCTCGTTTTCACTGCCCACCTGCTCTTTCTTTTCCCTCCTCACACGTCACACGCCACCTCGTCCCATACTCACTGTCAGAACCTCAGCCTTAAAAAAAACACAGACACAGAGAAGCGTTGTGGGTATCCAAAAGCCATTGTGGGATCTGTTGTCATAGTAATGGCGGCCCCCTCGTCTCATAATTTGGGGTTCCCATCAGTGTCTCCCCCCACCCCCACCCCCTGTATCTTTATCAAACAGCAGCAGCCAGCACTGTTATTGATACACGAATAACATCGTTCACCTGGGCAGCCTGCATTGCCTCTCACTCCCGGCGCCATCAGTCATGCCCCGAAAGGAAGCTCGCTTCTGAAGAGCCTGGCCCATTGTTGGATACCATCCGTGACCAACACAGGTTTTGGGGGCTCTCTGTGCACGCAACATGGGAATTGAGCTCTGTGGCTGCAGGTTCTTTAATTTTATTTTCTGTGAGAGTTTCTTCCCTCTCGTTGTCTTGGTTTTAATTTACAGCTTTAGCATATTTTTTTTTGCGTGTGTTTTGTTTTTTTAAGAACTAAGTGTTAGTGAAAGGCAGAGATTGGAATATTTAATAATTAACCAAGAGTTTGATACAATATCTAGCTGGTTCCTGGACAATTACATAACACCCTTCTTTTAAAATATACTATGTGAACACTAAGAACTGAATAGATTAGATAGAAATTGTTTGTTACGGTTAATATGCTTGGGAAAGTTGTAGAATTTATTTGAAACTAGTTTGTCCAATCAAAGCCTGGCCTTCTGAAGCCCAATCCAAACACACTAATCACCCTTATCTCGGGGCTGGGGATGAAGGCAGTGGTTCACCCCCCAAAACGCTGCAGGGGTGGCAGGTGGCAGCCCGGTTACCTCTAAGGGTGTCCCTTTCCCGGGCCTGGTCGACTCCCTTCCCCACCGCAGACTTGCTGTCCGGAGGCTGGTGCTGTCCATGGAAAGGAACGGGGCGCGGCTGCCTCTTCAAACCAGGGGGATGGTGCTCTCTCCGAGTTTTTTTTCCTCCTTTTTTCTTTTTTTTACAGCTGAGTATCATTCCATTATATAAATGTACAGCTTGTTTTCTTCTTTTAAAAAACATTTTTATACGTTTTTATTGATTTCAGAGAGAGGAAAAGAGAGATGGGACATCAGTGATGAGAGAGGATCGTTGATGGGCTGCCTCCTGCACGTCCCACTTTGGGGATCGAGCCCGCAACCCCGGGCACAGCCCTGACCAGGAACTGAACTGTGGCCTCCTGGTTCATAGATGGATGCTCGCCCTCTGAGCCACGCCGGCAGACTGTCTCCGAGTGCTGCGGGTCCAGCTCCTCAGGTCTCTTAGGTCCCAGAGCGGGTGCAGAGCTGCCGTCGCCGGCCTGGCTGTAAGGAGGCTGGTGCCCAGCACCGACCTTACAGGCCTGGGAGCTAACCGGACTCCTCTCTTACCTGCTGCGTGATCAGGCAACGTACCCCGCTTTTCAGAAACTCCGTTTTCCAGTTTTTTTTTCCTCTCTAAAAGAGAGATAATACTCTCATGCCAGAATGTCGATTAAATGAGACAATAGGTGTGGAAAACCATCAAGTGATCATTTTAAAAAAAATATATTTTATTGATTTTGTTCAGAAAGGAAGGGAGAGAGATAGAGAGTTAGAAACATCGATGAGAGAGAGAGAGATCAGCTGCCTCTTGCACACCCCCTACTGGGGATATGCCTGCAACCAAGGTACATGCCCTTGACCGGAATCGAACCCGGGACTCTTCAGTCTCCAAGCCGACGCTCTATCCATTGAGCCAAACCGGTCTCGGCAAGTGATCATTGTTTTAATTACTAACATACTAAGAAGTGATATGGGAAAATCCTGCTTTGCCCCTTGGTTTCTGTCACACACCGTGTAATAGTTTTTTGAAGATGACATCCCCACAAACCTGTGGTGGAAATTATTTCCCATCCCACTTGCACCCCCTAAAGAAGATTTTATAAAATTGTAATAAAATACACACGACATAAAATTCACCTTCAGACGATTTTTAAGTATTATAATTCAGTGACATTTACTACATTCACCGTGTTGTGCAAATGTCACCGTCACCAGGTTCCAGAGCATCTTATCACCCTGAGAGAAAAGCCAGAGGATGACAGTCACATCCGTTCCCCACGCCCCCAGCCCTGGCCACCACGAATGGCCCTGTCCCTAGGGATTTGGCCGCTCTGGAGAGTCTATACGAACAGATGCTTACAGCACACGGTCTTTTGTTTCCAGCTGCTTTCACTTAGGGTAACATTTTCAAGGTACATCATGGTACAGCATGATTCAGGACTTCATGCCTTTTGATTCCGTGGTATAGATCTACTGTCTTTATCTCTGTGGGCTGCTGCCACAAAATACCACAGGCTGGGTGGCTTGTAAGCAACAGAAATCTACTCCTCACCTTTCTGGAGGCTGGAAGTTCAAGATGAGGGTGCCAGCAGGGGCTGAGTGCTGCAGATTACCGCCGTGTCCTCACACGGGGGAGGGGCGAGGGAGCTTGTGTGGTCTCTCTTAGAAGGGCATTAATTCCATTCCTGAGGGTTCTGTCCTCCAGACACGAGCACCTCACCATGGCCCGCCTCACCTCCTAAGAGCATCACCTTGGGCATTAGAATTTCAACATATGAATTTGGGGGGGGACACAGACTTTCAGACCATAGCATATACCAGTGGTCAGCAAATTGTGGCTTGTGAGCCACATGTGGCTCTTTGGCCCCTTGAGTGTTTAGCAAAGGCCAGCTGAGGAGTACCCTCATTAAGTTAATAACAATGTCCCTACCTATATAGTTTAAGTTTAAAACATTTGGCTCTCAAAAGAAATTACAATCGTTGTACTGTTGATATTTGGCTCTGTTGACTAATGAGTTTGCCGACCACTGGCATATACCATATGAATCTTATCCATTCACCAGTTGATGTTCATCTGGTTCGTTTCTACCTTTGGCTGTTGGGAGTAGCATTGCTATGAACATTCTTGTACAAGTTTTTGTTTGAATACCTGTTTGAAATTCTTTTGGGTAAATACCTAGGAGTGAAATTGTTGGATCATATGATAATTCTATATTTAGCTTTAAAATAAAAACAAAATTGCCAAACTGTTTTAAGCTCTGGCTGCCCATTTAACACCTCTCACCTGAGGTTCCACTTTCTTTTATAACTTGTCATTTTCTGCCCTGGCCAGTTTGGCCCAGTGGGTAGAGCAGACTAAAGGGTCCCAGGTTTGATTCCTGTCAAGGGCATGCACCTCTGGTGTGTGGGCGTGAGACACCCATCAGTTAGTGCAACGTGTTTGTAAGAGGTGTCTCTCTCACATTGATGTTTCTCTCTTTCTGTCTCTCCCCATTCCTTCCATTCTGTAAAATTCAATGGAAAAATATCCTTGGGTGAGGATTAACAAAAAAGTAAACTTGTTATTTTCTACCTTTTTCATTTTATTATAGCTACCATGGTGGGTATGAAGTGCTGTCTCCTGGTGGTTTGGGTTGGTTTTATAGGACTGGTTTTGTGTGTTTCTGGACGCAGATGTTTTTACTCTGCAGTGTTCCTAAGCCTGTCATATTGCAAAGCTACAAAACCACCTACACATAATTCCCAGGAAGAGGACGTTGTAAAGCACCTTTTCCTCACGGCCCTTGTGCAGCTGAGCCTCGTGGCTCTGTACTCTGCCCTGCAGATAAACCACTCGCAGACAAGTGGCTAATTATAGACAATGCCTGATGCCTCTGACTGCTCTCTGATTCTTTTTTTCCTTTTGATTTTAGGGATTTCTTCTGGGTCATCCAAAATGCTTTTGAAGCATACTGGATAAGAGCTGAGCCACCTGCCTGTGTGAGACTTCCATACGTTCTGTTCTACTGTCTTCCCATGGCATTCTGACTGCATCAAGGCCACGTGACCTGCTGCTCATGATGAGTGATGAGAAGAACCTTGGGCTGTCCCCAAAATTGGTCTCCCCTTCCAGGAGCCCGAGCACCTGCTCCTCCAAGCAGGGAAGTCGGCAGGTAAAGTTTTAACTAATACAACTTGTGTGTGTGTGTGTGTGTGTGTGTGTGTGTGTGTGTCCTATAAGGCCCAGTGGCTCAGCCTCCCCGCTCACCTGAGGTGGATGCTCTTGGTGCACCCCTTTGTGGGCTGTGTGCACAGGCTTCTTGTAGTTAAGCCTTGATTGCTGTTGGTGTCACTGGTGGAATTGACCGCCAGACCAATTGGCTGTGAGGACCAGCTGTGTCTACAATGGGAGAACTGCTGTGTTGGAAATACCCTTATGGGGCTGGACTTGCTTCAGTGGGGCTTTGTCGCTTACTGAGTCTGCCCCCTGAGTGTGTCTCTTATGGATGTGAAGAGTTGAAATCTGGATGATCTCACTATGACCTCTGGGTGAACTGGCTCTTGGATCTCCCAGGAGGTGCAAAGTCAACCCCTGCCTGAGGCCACCCAGCAGGAGCTACAGAGAGATCTGCAGATTCCTCCTCTTAGTTTGGGGTTTAGAGGTGCCCTGATGAGACACACAACTAATGCAACTTTTAAGATGCAAATTTAAATCAGGCAGTTTGTAGATTAAAGTGTGTGTATTTACTTGGGAAAGCCTACTTCTCAGTTTAAGAGCACTTGCTTTTATCCCTGTCTTAATTATATGAGAAGAATCCATTTTTAGGTGACTTAATAATGCAGCTTGAGTGCCTACCAGGTGGGAAGAGCTGTATTTGGCTCTTTGGATTATTTTACTCAGTCCTTGTAACTGTCCTCCAACACAGATATTAATATCCCCTTGTTCTCCACAAGGAAGCTGAGTCAGACCAGCTGAGTTATTAAAGACACACAGCTAGTACTAGTAAGTGGCAGAGCCAGAAACCAAAGCCCAGTCTGTTTGACTCCAGAGCCCACACTTATGTTTTTACCCTACTAACCAACACAAAAAAATCAATCACTTTCCCGGTAATTATAATATCCTCCCATCCGCCTCTTCCTTCCCTTTACTGAACCTTTTATGACACCTCCCAACCACAGGCTGCCCTTGGGTCCCACCTGCTCTATTTCACTAATGGATGAGGAAATCAAATCAACAGAATGGTAAAAGGGAAAAAGAAGTGAAACAAAGGACTGAATAATTAACTCCTAAATAACTGTCAGCTAATTATATGTTGCCTTTTTGGTTTCCTTTCTCATAAATCCTGATTGGCAGGCTTTGCTGGTTTTAGATCAGTACAGTAAATGCACATTAATCACTGTAATTCTCCCACCTTCTGGTCGAGAGAGGGAGGGCTGTCCAAACGCTCTGGGTTTCCAGCAAAGTGATCTCTGCGCCTTTTCAGTGTTGGCTGCCTCTGTTGGCTTTGTCGATCCCCCGTGAGAAGCGACGGCCTGAGAAATGGTCCAGAGGTCTTGGTTCTAGATTTGGAAGCAACAATCCAGCAGCCTCCCACTCCAGGCACATCCACGCCTTTATGACACATCACACATTTATGACACATTCTCACATTTGTGACTCATCATCACAGGCCTCTCCATTTGAATGTTGCCCAGGACAGGGAGCTTACCACCTCACGATACTGCCTCATTTCTTTAGCATCTGTGATTCTAGACCAGCCGATGGGCTGCAAGAATTTTTGTACCTGAATATTTAGTCAGGGGCCCTGGCCTTTTCCCCCTTAGATTGTCAAATAAGAAAATGACACAATAGTAGTGCTCCAGTGTGAATGCCCTGTCTTGAGCCATTAATGTACACTGAGTGGCCGGATTATTATGATCTTTGAACGCATAATAATCTGGCCACTCAGTGTATAGGTCGTATAAGAGAATTGCATCTTATTGGTCTCGTTGCATAATAAGTTTGCATCTGATTGGTTAATTCTGAGTACCAGAAATCCTTATATACAAGTATGGGCACCTGATTTTTTAAAAAATTACTTTGGACCAAAAAGGATAGGTTGCTGTTGCTGTTGTTGTTATTATTATTTTGTAAATCAATCAAAACTGTATCTTTTTTTGTAGATCTGGAAAAATTATTTTTTGGTGTGCCGCAGAATTTTAGTAATTAATTTATGCTTACCATAAGTGAGAGTTTTAAAATCACCGTCCTAGACGATTAGATTTTACCACAGGCCTGACATTGGGAGCCCTCCAAGATCCCTCCAGAGGGTTAGGGAGAAGAATTTTTTCAGTACAGTTATCGCTTTCTGCTGGGGTTTAAAAATGACTAAAAGTAGTCCTTGACTGATGCCCAGTGGCTCCTGGGAATTCCATTTTTGAGAGGGTAGCTGCGTCCACCCCTTTGGCAGTTTTCCGGGAGGGTGTTTCTCTCCCTTTGCCAAATTTGGTTGGGGTTAGAACCAAACGCAGATTTCCCCTATCAGCATCCTTGGATAAAGGGCAAGAACATGATTCATTTAAGCCAGAGCTCATAACACTTTAGGGATTGAAGTTCTGGGATTGAATACACAGAAATTATTTGTTTGGTATGCTATTTGACATAGATTGGTTTGGTTTTCATTGAGCTTTTTCTACATCCTAAAAAAAAAAAATGAGAGAAATGTGTTTGATGCCTCCACGTTTTCTGACTTGGAATGGTTGGTCTCCCTCCTATTCAATTGCCCATCTTTCATATTTAGTATCTGCTACTTCAATGTGCATGTGATTTTGCTTTATAAACATAAAGACTTGTTTTTCCTCTGTGACATGGGAATATATTGTCTTTCACCTCTTTCTTCCTCCCTGTCCCCCAGGCCAGCACCTACCCGTGGGCAGTAGCTGCTAAGGGCACTGTGTTGAGAAGGGCTCTGCGGTCCAGCCTGGGGCACTGGAAAAGAGTGCCATGTTTTTAGCTATGATTTCGTGGGCACAGGCAGGCTGAGTGGGAGCACAGGTGCTACATGTGTCACCCTGTAGTGATAGTAGAGGGTTGATATTAAGAAATCTCTGGGGGGAAAAGAAAGAGAAAAATATCTGCCATAGTCTCTATATTTTGCTGTTGATGGGAAGTCCGGGAAGTGAAGTTTGCCTCAGTGCTCTATCCATAAAACGGCCTTGTTTCAAGACCCCCGACACCCCGGAAAAAAAAATGGAGCTCTTTGAAGTGGACTGTCCTTCAGATCCAGTGCTTTACTGGATAGGAATCCGTGCTTCTTGCAGGAAATCCCCAACGAGAGGAAGCCAGCTTCCACACAGAATAGGCTGCTGGTCCCTTCTGACCGTCCTCCTCGTTCCCTATTATCTGTAGTGCTCGAGGTTGATCTTTGCTTGAGTGTTTTTCCTCCTCCCAGGCTTTGACTCAGCTATCTTGTTAAGCTAGACTGATTCATATATGAGGAATTTTCTTTCCTCTTGAATTTGGTGATTTTTCTTGAGAAGAGTCTTCACTTATCGCTTTAACACTTTAAAAAAGGATCTTTTATAAAAATAATAGGTGCTCACTGTTAGTCATTTCCAAGGTACATGCAATCCATGTGACTTGCAAGACTTTAATTAATTTACTTTTAAATGGCTGCTGACAGGTCAAATAAAAGGAAGCCTGTGAATGACTGTTGATTGCGGAGGTCATCCATGACATTGTCGAGGGGTGGGCAGGAAAGGCTGGCTAGAGTCTTTTCAGGACAGAATAGGAACAGAGGAAGAGAGGCCCCCAATTCTTCCAGGCTCCTAGACAGGATTTGAGAGACGCCTTCACAAATGTTCTGTTTGGAACCTTAAGCATGTCTAATGCCATGCTTAACCCTGCCCTCTGCTCTCCCCACGTGGATAATTCTCTGATTCGTTAATTGGTTGAAAGAGTAGATAGAGCTTGAGTCCTGGGTTCTAGTTACACATCTTTTTAGCTTTCACATCTTTTTAGCACATGGCAGATGCAAATTAGTGGACTGAATGCCAGCAGCAAGTATCCCTCCATTAGGGGAGGTGAGAATGGATGGCCAGGTCTACATGTGGAATGTGAACAAGACACAGATTCCTCAGCTTCCTCACTCCAGTGACATATTGTGAGGATCTTAAAAAATGAACTGAGGCTCTCCATGGATTTTCTTCTGGCAAATAACGATGTAATCCCTAAATGCTTTGCTCCCAGGATCTCGGAATGAGCTACTCTACTGGAAACTATGAAATAAGTCTGACCATCTTCATCATTCCCTATTATTTGTAGTGTTCGAGGTTGATCTTTGCTAGCTGGGTGACCTTGCCATCTATCTATAATAATAAAAGTGTAATATGCTAATTAGACCGGACGTCCTTCCCGACCAAGCTGGGGCTGCAGCCATGGGATCGAGACAGCTGCAGTGGCTGAGGGGGAGGGATCCAGGCAGCTGCCTGCAGTTGCAAAGACCCAGTCTTGCACGAATTTCTTGTGTCGGGCCTCTAGTGTTACATGAAACCTCTGAATCTCAATTTTTCAGCTGTAAAATTTAGAAAATTGTGCTTCCTTTTGAGAACTAAATGAAATAATAAATATGAAGTACCTAGGCTAGCAGATGGTAGACATTTGGTAAGTGGGGATTAAATTAATGAATGAAGAAGCATGAAATTGCTAGATAGAAAATTACTATTCACAAAGCTCTGTAGACGAATGAAGTAGGTTAAGGGGTATCTAAGTGGGAGAGGCAGTTACTATTTCAAAACTTGTACAATACAAGCAATTGCAGTTTCCTGTTGTGTTTTCCCTTTCACTGCATCCTTTCATTTCTTTCCTAGAACTTTGAAACTAGCATGTTATAGAAGCCAGATTGAGCTAAAGGTGCATGACTAGGTTGTATATTTAATGAAAGAGTTCTGTGTGCCCTAAACTTTACTTCTTCAATCAATGTCTATTAAGAACCTATTATTAAAAGACTGGGCCGAAACTGGTTTGGCTCAGTGGATAGTCGGTCTGTGGACTGAGGGATCCCAGGTTCGATTCCGGTCAAGGGCATGTGCATTGGTTGCAGGCACATCCCCGGTAGGGGGTGTGCAGGAGGCAGCTGGTCGATGTTTCTCTCTCATTGATGTTTCTAGCTCTCTAGTCTTCTCCCTTCCTCTC